ATGCCTTTAATCCCAGCACCTGGGAAGCAGAGGCAGGTGGATATCTGTGAGTTCGAGGCAAGCCTGGTCTACATAGTGAGTACCCGCACAGCCAGAACTATGTAGAGAGACCTGGTTTCAAAACAACAACAAAGGATTAAATATTGTACTAATTTTTTTCACTAAAAGTTAGTGAAATTAAAATTTCACTAAGGGATATTTATATTCACACACAATTTATGTTATTCCTAAAATGTGGAAAGAATGTATAAAGAAGGTCCAGCTGACATAGACAGGGAATATCATGTTTAATCCCATCTATATTAAATACCTCAGCCTTATAGTTTCTAGACTTTCAGATCTATCATGTGGTTGACCTTTTATTTTTTTTAAAAGGCTTTTGTCTATGTGACCAGTTTTATTATAGCTCTCTCTGTTAATCTCTATCTGACCATAACCATGAGGATAAAGAACAGAGGCCAATTTTGTTTGAACTGTGAACTCTGCTGAGTGTTGCACATTTATACTTGAATTGTGGAATTTGGACATTTAATCTGCGTGGCCCATTTAGCACAAGGGTCAAAGGGGTCTGCTCACACACCGGGCAGCCTGCCTTGCACAGAGTGATCATAGTGCGGACAGAGGCTTGAAAGTGATGTGAAATAGCAACAGAAAATGCCCCTCCATTGACAAATGATTTAAATACTGGCTGCAGAGGGATGGCTGTCAGAAACAGGCATTGATAATGTGCCCTGGGGGAAAAAGGACAGTTCAGTATAATGTGGGGAAATTGAAGGTGATTTTGGTGGAAAACTGGGCATCTGACTGAGGAACCTACTGTCTACCTTATTTTATATAAATATCAATATTGATATTCAATGTTAGTTTATATTCTATTCATTGTAGTAAGATGATTAAATGTTGCAGATTTTGTTATGTCCCTGGACAAACGCAATAGCTAATTATAAAAATAATCAGTAATGTTTGGAGAGTTGTGCATCTAGAACATCCTATAGATTATCCTATAGAGTAAGATGGGGCATTTGTCAGAATGCACCACAAACTGATAGAATCCACAGATATATCATTGGCCTTTTCCTTAGACTGCCTTTGTGAAGTCCTAGAGACTGGCATTTTGTGAAGGAATAATATTTGTATGTCCCCATTTTGGCTAGAAATCCTTAATTTTAAGAGCCTGTATTTCAAGTTACTATGGTTTATCACATTTTCAGTGAGAACCCAGTAATTTTAAAAACAGGAAAATACAGTCAAGCCTTGAATGTGAAATGGAAGGAGGGGATTACAATCTAGTACAATAAAAAAGAAGCACCTGTTAGTTGATGTTACATAAACCCCATGACATTTAGTAGTTAATTATGGACAGCTTGTATAGGCAATGCCCCTTGAGCATATTGGCATCAAGGCAGGGAAGGTGAAAGAGTTTGGAAAAGGGTAACCAGGATTTTAATAGTCTACTAGATGTAAAAATAGCCACAATCATTGTTTCAAGATAAAAGCTCATGGCAGCTCCCATGTTGTTGGCTGGAAGAATTCAGTGCTTACCTGAGAGTCAACATTTTGTGCCTACTCTTCCAGCCACAGCAAAAGGCACTGGTTGTATAGAAGACTCGTTATCTCAGTAAAAGCTAGTTACCCTGATGGGATCCAATTACCTGTCAGGATAGAGCATCCTTTTTTTTTTTTTTACAGTGAAATGTGACACACAAAAGAACATGAAAAGAGTAAATAAAACAAATTTGCTTAGTATTCCTCCCTTGGGAATAGTCCTCAAGGAGTGGCACACCCCACCTGGTTGTAAGGTTGGGACTTGGTGCTTGGGGCATTCCCTTGGTGGGCTATATATTGAAAGTCTGTTGTTTAGAGCCCCCCAACAGCTATTCTTTCACCTTCTAGAAACATCATTCAGCTCTTGGGTTAATACACTGTCCCTGTGAGTGAAGGCTCAGTGTGAGCATCGGTGTGAGCAGGATGATCAGCTTGTATGATCCTCATTGATCAGACACTTCCAGAAGAAGTGAGGAGCACACTGAGAAGAATGACATCAAACCCAGAAACATAATCAATTTATCCTTCAAATCATACAGCAAAAGATCTGCCAAGGTTTCTGTACTCCCGAGAGTAGCTGGGTGCATGCACTCATCAAGACTTGCACTTCTGGTAATCCCTGGGCTCCTGTGATGACCCTGTGAGTTGTTAATTAGTTCCTTTCTGTTTGGTCCAGTTAGGAGAGTTGTTTTTGTTGCTTTCAAACAGTAGCCCCTATCCACCAATTACCACAGAAGTCAACAAATAAGACAAGTTTTGGTGAAGGTGGTGCTTGCCAAACTCTTCAGTCCAGTTGGCCTCAGCTAACTCGGGACATCACTATCAGATGATAAAGCTGAGAGATGAAAAAAGTTCATCAAAGCTTAACACTAGAAGCCACTGGTCCTTCCCAGAACATCACCAAAGTAGTTATTCCTGCTTGGTTTGCTATATAGCACAAGGCCGACAACTGATGCAAAATGCTACTTCAAAGACCCCTTCAATCAATTCATCAATGAGTATTTATTGCAAGGCACTGTGCTAGGCACTATGGAGAGTACATGGAAGAGAAGACCAATGTCCCTGCCCTCAAGGAGCTTACAATCTAGTTGGGAAGACAAGGCATACATATAAAGAAAAGTCAGTAACAATACAGGAGTTAGGTTCAAATGCAAGATAACAGTACAAGAGATTTCCAAAAGTAGTACCTTATGAAATACCAAATGAAGGGAAGGGTTGCAGCAAATTCAGAAGAAGGATATCACAAGGAAGGACAGGCATGTGGAAAGATCTCACAGATGAACTGGCATGTTGGAGGTGCCCCAGGACAGTTGATATTTGGATGGGAGAGAGGGGAACATTTCAAGGAGGAACAGCCATGAGACCAAAAGGCACAGAGGTGATACCAAAAGCAAGCAGGGCTCAGTGTGGATGGATGTAAGGGATTTAGACTAAGGAGGGCCTTATGTGCTTAATTTTGTATAGAGATTTTAAGATTTTGGGAAGGGAAACAACAGATACACTTAGATCAAATTTACAAAATCTTGGATAGCCAAGAAAAAGTATTCTAGTCTGTTTCAACACATTGGCTACTTGATTTTGATCCTCTTTGCTTTCAAGGAAATGCTGTCTTCAGGGTTGTCAATTCCAAAGCCACCATTGGAATTGGGTCACCTAGCTTTGGGTCAGAGCTAGAGACTTGAGTTTCCCTACGGTCCCAGTTGTAACTAGCACAAGGGTAAGCTAACAAATTCCCTGACAAGCAGGCAGGAATAATGCTCCCAGAAGGCAGATATCTTTACAAATGACAGAATATTTATTAACAATACCTTTAAAAAAGATTACATATGCTAGATCACTGGTAGATATCATTTACACTGGGGTTGGGAACTACCTGGGGTATCAGATTGTTTTCATTCGTTTTATTATTATGTTGATTTTTTGCATGTGACTTTTAAATCATATTTTAACATAGAAGTAAAGCATATCAAACTAAGAAAGGAACGAACTGAAATATTGACAATATTTTCCCTGTTACCATCCTAATTTTCACACAAATGGAATCCTGATGATGTCTTTATTGGATGAATATAATTAGAAGGTCGAAATCTTTGTTATGTGTAAGCAAAAATGGCAAGTTACAGGTAATCATGAGCTTTCCAAGAAGAAGAAAAAGATGACTCTGTGTTTGAATGTGAAAAGTTTTATATAAAATCTCACTGCCTTCTGTATTCCACCCTTGTCAGCTTACAAAACGTCCCCCATCATAACAAAGAGTTCTGTTCATAAGAATAAGGTTTTGTCAATATTGCCATCTTTCATTGTATTATTTTAAGATTTATGTAAAGCTTAGAAGCAACCAGACTAGCTACTGCAAAACAGGGGAGACATTGAGATACAATACGTTTGTACTACTGAAAATTTATAGAATCATATGTAAAATTCTTTGCAGCAGCTATTTGCTGAAATAGGAAAGTGTTTTCAAATTACACATGTTATTATCATTCAAAAGAAGGATGCTATCATTACAGTTACTCATGTTATCTATAAGAAAATTTGAAATTATAAACCCATTGACAGAATTATTCATTAAAAAGTTACATTCAAAACAGATATGTCTAAAGAGTAAAATTACCTTTTATGCCATGAAAGACTTGTCTGACTATAGTAACTTTTTGTCTATGTTACTACAGGATATGTAACTTCAAATTCGGTGCCTAAGATAATGCTACTACAAAGACAATGCTCAAATAAAGTCTTACCAGACGATGCTAAGTTCAGGGATGGGAGGATTGCACAAGGTGCCTCTTGGGCTGGGAAGATTAGCTTTTGAGATTTGTAGTTTCTGACCATCTCAAGTTGTATTGAACAACAAAATTCACAACAGGGTGGGAAAACATATCACATATGTCAAAGGGACTCAATTCAATGCATTAACCATTCAAGGAATAATTTATATACAGCAGCCTTGAGTTACAGACCAAGTCTCCAGCTGTTTTGTCATTAGATCCTTGTAAAACTGTACAAGTCATTTGTAATTCATTTATTGAGATGAGTTTCATACTCTGTCCTTAAAGGAAATCGTCTCAAATCATAATTGTGTGGTTGTGTTGCCCAGAGCATTTTACAGCAGAGGAAAAAAACCAATATCTACATTATATGTTAACTTTAAAAAATTCTATAAAACACTAAATATATAATAAAAAATATGCATATAAGGACATATGTAAACTGCTTTGGTAACATCATATTACAGATGTCTTCAGTGCATTGCAGAGTTTCCAAAGAAACTTCAGACAAAGCTAGATTTGCTTTGAGGAAGTACTGTATAATGCCATTCCTAACGAAGCAAAAAACATTTTTTTCCAGTAATAAGATGTACTTGAACAACAATATTACTTAGTACTGGGTGTCTTCAAAACAACTAGCTAAATGTTGCTTATATTATAAATAGCAAGTCCTTTAGATAACTTTTGTCATAAACTAGACCTGGCTGTGAGGGAGATCATTATTGTGCTGATGGCTGACAGTGTACACGCATTGGAGGTAGAAGCCCCAGATCCTCTTGCATAGGAATCTGCAAAGAGAGAACAAATTCATTTAAAAGGGTCTCATCCTGTACACAAAGGAAAGAGATGCTCCAGGGCTTCACCAAAACAGCATGGCTGACTGGCTTCTACAAGAACCACACTATCTGCTTGTCCATCATCTAGCTATTTCTTTTATTTTTAATGTGTATGTATGTATGTATGTATGTATGTATGTATGTATGTATGTGCAGAAACACTTGTCAGGTATGTGTGCATACATGTGTGCATGCATATAGAAGGACACTGTCAACTCCTTAGAAGGATGCCATCCACCTTGCTTTCTCAAGGCGGGGTTTCTTACTGGCATGGGACACATCAAGGAATCTTCCTGTTTCTACCTCCCTAATGCTAGGATTATGAGGGTGTGTGGCTGTATCTAGCTTGCTAGATACACGGACTAGAGTTCATAGTTAAGTCTTCCAGTTTGCGAGGCAAGCACTTTACTGATGGGGCTTTCTTTCCAGCTCTGTCTCCATGGTTTCCTCTCAATGATTCATTCCCATTAGTTCCACGATGACCTATATGTGGGCTGGGAACAGGTTAGGGAATAACCTACAGACATTTTGTAGATTTTTTTTTATAAATTGAGGGTGTACATATTCAGTGTGGTAAATATTTCAATATTACTAGCATTATCTCTGATACGGGTCAATATATCCATGATATAACTGATGCTCCCTTTGAAATTCCACCTCTGTGCCATGCAAACACTGTGATACTCAGCTTTTACAGCCCCATCTCTGGACTTGATATTGTCAGTGTTTCATTCATCAGATGAGGAGACTGGGATGCCAAAAGATGAGGTAACTAACTTGTCTAAGATTGCTAGCTAAGTGAATGGCTGGACTGGGAGTCAAAACCATGCTTGTCTAAATATATTTCTTTTGCTCAGACAAAATAATCACATTTTAGACAAACTTTTTCATATGGGTTGCACATTTTTCATAATAAAAGCTTTCCCATTTTCAGTCTGGTTTCCTTTGAGGCAGCCTGATCTCTCCAACTGAAAGTCTTAAGGGAAGACATTCTCTGTTAGCACTCAGTCTGTCACTATCCAGCACTATATATGTTCCTGTAATGAATAAGACCAAGAAGCACAGGTGAGGAAAAGGAAGATCCTTGCAATGGTAAGAACTTTGTAGTAAGATTTAAGCAGAGTGAGATAAATAAATCCCAATTGTGTGTTATTGTGGTTTGGAGATTACTTCCACAGCTTGCTGTATAGCTTGCTCCCTTTCAGAGAACCCTTGTTTGGTGATAGCTAGTTCATCTATATAGCTAGTTCCAGAACAGCCAAGGCTACCACTTAGTGAGGAACCTCCCAAAGAAATAAAGATAAAAAACCTACAAAACAGACAAAAGTTACAGTTCAGTGGCATTCAAGTCCCATTAACCATATATACATATTATATATTATATTAACCATACAATATATATTAGCTACATATATATTATACACAAACACATATATATGTTTGTGTAAGTATGAACTCCATCTCTGGGGCATGGCCTTTGGTTTCAGTTTCCCACTGCATCCCATACTGTTCTTGAACAAGACAAGCACCTATTGAATCCTTCCTAAATGAAAGGCAATTAAGAGAATGGGTGAAATGATCATGGACCTCTTTACTTTTCTGAATTGAAAAATTTAACAGAAGCCATTAAAATTTCTTCATGGCTACTTTGCTATCATTTCATATCTGTAAGACAAAATAGCACTTTCTTCCTCTGAAAAATAAAATGATGGACACCTAGCAGAGACTTAGTCGAACACTAAAATTAGGGTCTCAATGTTGAGGTTGTCACCCTTGATTTAAAATATCATTTTCCATGATAGTTTGGAAGTTTAATTCCAGCCTGAATTGACCCTCTAGTATCCAGACCTCAAATTCAAACGCCAAAAAAAAAAAAATGTGCATTGATATCTATCTAATGGCAACCTGAATCTAATCTTTTCTTTATCATTATAAAATAGTCCATAAACAAAGGGACCATGTAAACTAAAGAACACAACTCAAGTAGTTTTGGTTCCTATAATTCTAGCACTTAGAAAGCAGAGGCAGAAGGATTTCTACAAGTTGAAAGATGGCTTCCTCTACATACCCAGCACCAGGCCAACCAGGGCTACTTTGTAAGACCCTGCATGCCAAAACAAAGACAACAAAAGTACAATCCATTGGCAGTAAGTATTTTCAGATACTGTGTAATCAGCACCACTCTTTCAAGAAGCTTTTAAAAATCATGCTAAATAGTACACAAATTTTCATTAAATGACCATCCCCCCCTCAAAGCTGCTGCCAATCATTCTTACTTTTTTTAGTCTTATGATTTTTCCTCTTCTTAAAATAAATAAAACCACACAACAAAATTAGTATGATGTTGAGATATTCATAAACATGACACTTAAAAACAGAATAGAATGCATTTCTTCAAAAAGGCTACTATCACATACTATTTAACAGCATTTTAAATGGAGACAATTAACTATATATAGCTATATATGTTTTGCATGTAGAGCACATATACTCAATTAAAATGTATCATGTTACCTTCTAAACATTGCCCACTCAAGACTGAATTATACTCTTTCTCTGGGAATAAAATACCACAGCCCTATTAAGAACTTTTTGGCAGGAGATGGTGTAGTATATCTTTAATCCCTTTAAGCACTGAGGAGGCAGAGGCAGGTAGATCTCAATGAGTTCAAAGCCAGCCTGGTCTACTTAGCAAGTTCCAGACAAGTCATGCTACATAGAGAGACCCTGTCTAAAAGACCAGCAAGACAACAACAAAACCTTTTTGTCTATTCTTCCTAACTGCATTGTTCGTTAGCTTTGGGAGCCATAATTTGGGGACTATGAATTTGTTAGCTAAATGAACCAATATGAAACAACCCTCTGAGACTTGTGTGGAACAGCCTTGACATACTATCTTGGTTGGTCACTGAATAAATCCATGAAAACTGGGCAAAGGTTTTCGTTTTGCATGAAGTTTCTTGTAATCAGAAACTATCAGTGATGGGAGGAAGTTCGCTCCTGTCATTCATCTTAATTATCACTTTTTCTTTTCAAGCTCAATTTCTTGAAGCCTTGGGTCATCTGGGAGAGTGGCACAGTAGGAAGGAGGAAAAGGCGAGAAAAGAATTCTTACTTGATATCTTTGGGATTCGGATTTGCTCACTGCTGCTGCCATCTCCTCCATCGCTGAATGGCTTGATCTCTATGATGTAATCTTCATCGAAGGGTAAAGAAAGCTCCACTGATGTTTTGTTTGTTTCAATGACGGACGTGCTGCTTTGCCTGTTCCATCTGTATAAGACCTGCCCATGTAGAAAGAGCAGGTGTCATTTGCTATTCTAACTAATATGCCCAGAGATGTGGTTTTGTTCATTTCTGTCTCTGGGTACCAGCTAATTGTAAGGTGATGGAAGTGCTCTGACAGCCTGCCCACACAGAGAAGGTTAATTTATGGTGAGGGTCATGTCTGTTGCTACCATGTCATGGAGGGATGAGTTGAAAGGTTACTTCAAGCCGGAAAGGAGAATAGCATGTGCGGCTACTCTTTTAGATGGGTAAGCTAACGGACATTGAAATATAGAAGTCTGAATGAGGATGCAGAGTCGGTGATACACTAGGAGTCTTGGCATCAGAAATATCTGGCTCTGTGTGGCCATGGGTCATTTACCTCACCTCACTGAACTTCATTTCCCTCCACTGTCAAATGGGGACAAAACAGCCACTTTTCAAGATTTTGTAAAGATTGAATGCACTAAGTTAGTATATGGGCAACACAGATTGACTTGCTTTTATTTTCTTCTTTTTTTGTCGGGAGGGAGGTTGTGAGGGAGGGAGGAAAGGGTGGACCTGGGAGGCCTGGGAGGTGAGTGTGATTGGAATGCATGATGGGAAATTCCCAAACAATCAATAAAAATATTATTTTGGAAAGAATAAAGTACATCTATGCAGGCTTAAGTGAAATAAGGTAAGCATACATAGCAGGTGTTCCAAGCACAAGAGATGCCTAGAAGATTGTTATTATCGAGAAACTTCTTGAAAGAGGACATTTCTAAACACATGGATGGTTTCTGAATGGTAAGAACAGTGAGCTCTCCACTTTCCCTCCTATTGGGACCCCTTTTAAGGGTCACATAGAAGAGGCAATCAGTGACAATCTGGAAGTGTGGTAGTTCTGAACAGTTCCACTCATGCGCCTTTGTTTTCCTTCCTGGGCCTCTTAGATGCTGAGTTTGAACTGTAATTTATCTGATGAGTTGGCTGGCTAGGTTTACTGAAAACACACTCACATGGGTCTCTGATGGACCTCAACCTAGTAGGGAATAAAATACAAAGGAATAAAAATATGTACCTGCCATTGTGTGCCCACCCAAAAAGACATGAGGATAACTATCCTGTAGATTCTGACTCTTGTAGGTAACTTGTCATTGTCACCACAATCACACAATACAGGTATTATTATGCCCTTCACAAATGAGGACACTGAAGCCCAGGGTCCTCACACCATGGAGAAGTGTTAGGAAGCTGATTCCTAAGTCATAAATCACAGTAGCCTACCTTCTCCACCTTCCCACCAGATACAAAAGATGGAGCTGGATGGCACCACTGGTCCTCAGCCTTGGATGCTTTGGGACACTTGCTGATGCTCTAAATCTGTGCCTCTCAGGAGAGGTGGGAGGGTGGGACACAATTTTGCCCTGTCTCAGAGTCACCAGGCAAGATACTTAAAGCATCATTTGTTTAGCCCTTCCCTAGGATTTCTGGCTGCTGAGGTCAGGGCTGACCTGAACTTTTCCCTCTCTGTTAAGTTCTCCACCTATACCACTGTTGCTAGACCAGGAATGGTAGTCTGAGGACCCTAGGACTAGTTTGTGTATCCCTACCACCCCTAAAAATATTGATCTACTGAGGTCAGAGACACATGGTCAGTCTTCTATTGCAAGACAGAAGCAAACATAAGTGAAATTCACAAGATTTTCTTAACATAGTTAAGATCCCATTTGTTCCTTGGCATTTTATCACCTTAATTTATGACCCTCTAATACAAGGTGGAAAACACAATTTCCTTAAGGTGAAAAGATTCACAAGCCTTCCCCTTCCCCACTCTGAAGCATCAGCTGTACCAGGCTTGGCATCCCTTTGCAAATGATCAAGGTCAATAAATCCTCAGCCACCAGCTTCTCATCCCAGCCCTTCAGGAGAATGGGCTGACTGATGGGATGCAAGGTCACATCTGGCTCAGAGGAACAAATTGCTTCTTTGATTTACTGCTGGTCCTTGCAAGAGCTCAGAGAATCCAACCGGTTTCAAGTATAAATCCAAAAGAAACATTTCCTCGAAAAAGCAGACTTTATTTTTTCTTTCTTTCTTTTTTTTTTTTAAATCAACCCTGCTTATCAGTCTTGTAATAGTGGAGCCTGCAGCGGCACCTAAATAAGGCCAGCAAAAGCTTTATTTACACCAAACACTTGGTACAGCTGATTGACACAAAGGCTATGCAGGCAGGGAGAAAGAGAGGATTCCTGGGAATGATGATAACAGCCAACACTGACTACTTTTGCTTCTCTGGTGTCAGAACACTGCTACTTGTAAAGGTTTATGTAGATCATCTCCCTAGCTATGCTTAGTTACTATTTTGACCTCAGAGATGGCAACCTGAGATCTGGAGATAGTAGACAATTGCCTGTGGTCCCATGACAAGTAAGTGATTGACCCCCTGTTTAAACCTAAGTAATACAACTCCAGAGCCTGGATTACTCTTATCATTTGGCCCCCACCTGTAGGTCAAATTGCTTTCCCTTCCTTGTCTCTGTCTTTATATGTGCAAAATAAGGGGATTAGACAGTGAACTTAAAAAGAGGTAGAGGGGTAGGAGGACAAATGGCTCTGCAGGTAAAGGAGACTGCCACCAAGCTTGATGACTTTGATTAGATCTCCAGGATCCACATGGTAGAATAAAAGAACTAACTACTGAAAATTGTCCCCTGACTGCCACAGGCATGCCATATACATGTGGTTACAATTGAATGTATGTTCACATGTTCACACACACACACACACACACACACACACACACACACAAATAAATAAATAAAATGGAAAAACTAAAGTCAGAGAACATGTAGCCTGAGGATCATTTTTGTCATGTATTATTTGTTTTGGCCAGTGTCTGATTTTTTTTTAAATGCCAACCTTTATGAACTAAGAAATTATGAATGAAGGTTTATTGTTACTGTTGAAAGATATTGAAGGGACCAGCTCCCTATTTCGGCAGCCATAACAGCTTGTCTGACCTTGTCTTAGTCACTAAGGTCAGATGCCTGCCCCTGTGGCAGCCATAACAGCTGAACACGTGCTTGTCTGACCTTGTCCTAATCACTAGAAAGTCAGATGCCTGCCTTGTGGCAAGAAACCAATCAGAAGTTGGCTGGTGGCGCTATGCTTTACGGCTCTGGGTGTGCTTTATGGACAAGTGCACAGCAATGAGGAGCAGAGCATAGCAACCAGCATGGGAGGGCCTATGGGCCATAACAACCAATTGGCCAATCAACACAGGGCCAGCCCTCCAAGCCTGGAGGCACACCAATCCTGAACCTGTGCGTACCCCTAGACACTCCCCTTATGCTGTCCTACAAGATCTCTATGCAGCCACTTCAAGCTGTCTTTGCTAGCCATCTGCCATGGCTGGTGGATGAAAAACCTGAGTAATATGGGGTTAGCTTGTTAAACAACAATAAAGCCTCATGCTGTTTACATCAAGCTTTTGAATCTGCCTGGTGATTGGGGTGACTGAGGTCCTGGGCTGAGACCCTGGAGGCCTGAGCTTTCTGGGGGTCTAACAATATGGCCATCACAGTTGCTATGTTTTGGATGTTTATCTGCTCTAAAATTCCTGCCAAAAATTAATTGCTACTGTAACAATTTTAAAAAGTGGAACATGGGGAAATAATAGACTTACAGTTCTATTATTCGGGATGCTGAGGCAGTAGGATTATTGTGAGTCTAGGTCAGCTTAGCTATATAGTGAATTCCAGGTCAGGTTTGGTTACAGAGTTAGACCCTGTCTCAAAAAAATAAAAATATGGATGCATCTGGATTGTGAGAGCTCCACTTCATGGTGGGATTGGTTCTGTTGTAGGAATCCTGTACCCTTTTAGTGTGCCTCAGTCTTCTGCCTTCTGTGACAGAGAAGGAAGACTGTCCTTGTCAGTCAACACTTTCATGTTGAAATTTCTACTTTGAAGAAATATGTTTCTGTTCATGATAAACTAACAAGCCTCAGTTAGTTTCTTACAATATCACACACGGACAAAGACACTGGTCTGTTTCTCATTGGCAACAACTGGAGCTAAAAGAACCACTGCCTTCTCTGGACAGCCAGAAAGTCTATTGCTATAGTCTACAATATTTCACATTTGGTGACACTGACATATAGCCACCTCTGGACCTTCATGCCTCTGTCCTCATACTTTGCCAGAGCTGCCTGTCTCATTTCCTCCTTTCTTTGGAAGCCCAGTTAAGATATAACCCCTGATGTGGCTTTACTTGGCCATTATATAAAAGGGCACATCTTTCCTGTTTGTCCCCTGGCTCTTTCTGGTCTCCTCACCCTCATGCCTTTTACTTTGTAATGCTTCATTTCCACCTGCTGCCTCTGTTGATTGCTGTTAGTCAAAATAAACAAGTGGCCAGGGGGCAGGGTCAGATTCCATACTTCTGTGTTCAGATTCCAGCTTTGGATATTTTAGAGAGGTTATTTTAGCACAGTTCTGTGTCTTTTAAGTTAGGGTTAGTAGACATAGTAGATTCTAGAAATTTCTTCTTTCACGAGTTATTGAAGGTAAGATGGTGAAGAAACTTGGACAGATTTCTAGAGTGTTTGTTGAATGGGCCCAGTTAGTTTAATTCACTTATTTACCGGGGCAGCTTATTTTGCCAGTCTGAGAAGAGATTATTATTTCTTTAAATCTGATTTTAGGTCTCAGGATGCCCATAAATCCATAAATGACCGAAAGCTGGACTATAGAAGGATTTCTAGAGGTTAGATAAAAGCCAGAATTCCTCAAGAGCTTGTGAGACTGGCTCCCATCTGCCAAAAGGAGTCATTTTCCTTTATTCTGGTAGAAGGGGCACATGGTTAGTTGTGGCACCTATCAGCGCATCAAAGCCAGGTTCCCTTGCTATCACAAATACTTGTTATAAATCTCAAAGACCAGGCTAGCACCGAGGCCTTCAATTCCCCCCCAAGTTACTCATCCTCTTTATAGTTCCCATGGTTTGTCCACTCCACACTCTCTCTCATCTCAGTGGTTCTCATCCGGTGGATTGCAACTCCACAGGGCCCACCTATCAGAGATCCTACATATCAGATATTTCTATTACGATTCCTAACAATAGCAAAATGATAGTTATGAGGTAGCAATGAAATACTTTCATGGTTGGGGGGGTCACCACAAAATAAGGAACCAACTCCACTAAAGGGTCATAGTATTAGGAAGGTTGAGAACCACTGCTTGGTCTCTTGCTCTCTTGCTAGTCTCACTTTTCTCTCTCACACACCCATCCTTTGTTCTCTAGCTCTTGCTATCTTACTATCTCTACTATTCTCTCCCTTCCCCTAGACCTGGCCATGTCTAGTCTGCCACCTCCTCTCTGTACTCTTCCAGAGGTCTCTGGATGTTCTCTCTGTCTTTTTAGCAATATCGGATCAGTCCAAATATCGGATCATTCATGTCAGCAGTATCTTTACTGTGCCCCCTCAAATACACTGATGTCATAGCTAATTTATAAGATAATCGGGGACTCAAATGTTGTAAAGTCCTTTTTTTTTTTATTGACACTACCCTACCTAAACAGGAATTGATTGGACCCACACTACAAAAATCACAATGTAAAGCTCCTTACTGTAAAACCTTCAGTACATAGGAAAGAAAGTGAATTTAAGGTGTGGCCATGACATAAGCAAGAGCCTTTTTTGTTTGTTTGTTTGTTTTTGGGTTTTCGAGACAGGGTTTCTCTGTGGCTTTGGAGGCTGTCCTGGAACTAGCGCTTGTAGACCAGGCTGGTCTCGAACTCACAGAGATCCACCTGCCTCTGCCTCCCGAGTGCTGGGATTAAAGGCATGCGCCTTTAATTTTATTTATTTATTATGTGCACAGTATTCTGCCTGCACTCCAGGATAGGGCACCAGATCTCAGTTAAGGTGGTTGTGAGCCACCATATGATTGCCGGGAATTGAACTCAGGACCTCTGGAAGAACAGTCAATGCTCTTAACCTCTGAGCCAACTCTCCAGCCCCGAGCCTTTGGTTATGAGACAAGTTCCCTACCAAGGATCATCTTTCTCAGAGCTAAGAGATCTGCATTTTAGTCTTATAACCCCAGCTCTAAAGGTGATTTCTGTCTGGGATATCATAAGAGGGACCCGCTATACATTTATATCATTAAACATTCACATGTATATGGAGCGCTCAGTATGTATATCTATTCATGGTGAGATTCCTTGGGATCCAACTGAGCTGTAGGGAGTCCACCTACATCCTTAAAAGGAGAACTTTTGAGTTGGAAATCAAGGACTCAGAAAGTGTCTTTTCATCTGAAAGTGTCATTTCATGGTTTCTCCTAACCACCCTGTCTTTTTCCCACCCCCACTACGCTTTTCTGTAGCATTGTGTATGCCTGACTCCATCAATGGGTGATATCTCCCACATGTACCCTCCTGACACAGAGGGACTACCCTATATTCTCATAGCTTCACTTCAAAAGACACCTCTAATGTCATAAAAGATGACCTCATTTGAGCTGGTATTTGAATCGGAAAGAGAACTAAATGTCCTAGTTTTAATTTATTTTATTCTATTTCTCTAGAAATAACAATAGTTTTCCAAAATCCTATATGAAGAATAACAGATCTCTTCTGGGAAGGCCAATTTTGGCTCAGTTGTACTTTATAGAAGCCGAAGCTTCTGTTCAAGAATGGACTTAGCTCAAAGGGAAAATGAACTTTTCTCCATTGCTGGAGGTAGGTAGGCATTTGCTACACCACTGTTCACTGAGATCCCAGGGAAGGAAATTCAATATGGTATTCAAGTTAAGGGCATTTTGCTTCCTGTCTAGATTCAGAATGAGTGACTTTGTGCAAAGCTTTTGATAAACTATCGTCTCCATGGCTATGTGGACATGCTCTTGACTGCTAGTAATTTTACAATAAACCTTCAAAAGGAAAAAAAATGACTTTTCTTGCGACTTAGCAAGTTCACTTTAATACCCCCCCCACTTTTTTCATTACTTAAGGAAGAATATAAAACCAAGACTATGGTTTTGAAATTTTCTCAAGGAGAAGGGCTTGGAAATCAAAATTTTTAGGAGTCATATAAAATGGAGAAGAATTCTACTCTTTATCATTTAAGTATCTAGATATTTTAAATATTATGCTTGCAAGGACCTTGATCTTTTTCCATCTAAACATCTTCAGTTCCTTCCTTCACCCTCCCAGAGGTTAGGACCAGGCCCTGGTCATGGTCTGCTCAGTATGTCATCTGGCCTACACATTTGGACACAGCCAACCCTGCTACTCCTTGCACACAGACCCTTCACATCAGAATGATACATTATTGCTTGCACGTGTGTTCCCTGCCCTCACCCCTTTGAATCTGAGCTGGCCTTACAGTAGCTAGTTGTATCCTTAGCTTTAAAAAGGCATGTGGCTTCCACTCTCTCCCACTGAAGCTAAAGGCCTCATTGGAGGTCCAGTTACTTTGAAGAAAGCCCAACTTCCCCATTGGCAGAGTCTTATGGAGTGAATAATCTCTGGCCACTTTCCAGTTTTTGCAAAGCCATACCAGGTGAGAAAGCTACCCATGTGTGAGCTACATCAGGGATTCTAACCACAGACACTCCATACTTTGGTCAAATGAAGACTGTAAAATAGTAAAAATTAAACACAATTGTTTAGCCCAACTTCAGGTGACAATGGGAAGTATAAATTTAGTCATAGCCTGAAGAGTATGTACTACTCTTACAGCGTATTTTCCTACAGAGAACGCTATCTATAGAAACAAAAGCAGGTATTGGAATGGCCAAGTTGGGGGAGGGAGAGCAATGAATGAGACAGATATGAATTGATAGAGGGGTCATTATGGGGCTAGGGAGAAACTTGGTGCCATGAAAACTCCCAGGAGTCCATAAGAACAACCCCAGTTAAGTCTACTAACAATAGCAGAAGAGGGTGCCTGAACTGGCATCTCCCGTAATCAGATTGGTGAATACCCTAATTGTCATCATAGAATCTTCATCCGGTAACTGATGGAAGCAGATGCAGAGATCTAGAGCGAAGCACTGGACTGAGCTCTGGGAGTCCAGTTGAAGAGAGGGAGGAGAGATCAAATGAGCAAGGGGGCATCAAGATCATGACAGGGAAACCTACAGAGACAGCTGATCTGAGCTTGTGGGAGCTCAGGGACTCTAGACCTACAGATAGGGAACTCCCATGGGACCGACTTAGGCCCTTTGCATGTGTGTGACAGTTGTGTAGCTTGGTTTGTTTGTGGGATCCCTAGCAGTGGAACCAGAATTTGTCTCTGTTGCATGAGCTGGCCTTTTGGAATCTATTCCCTATGGTGGGGTACTTCACTCAACCTTGATGCACTGTGGAGGAGCTTGGTCCTGTCTCAGCTTGCTATGCCATGCTTTGTTGACTTCCGTTGGGGCCTGCCCCTTTTTGAGGAGTGGATGAGGGAAGGGGTAGGAAGGAGGTAGGGAAAGGAACTGGGAGGAGAAGAGGGAGGGGAAACTGTGGTTGGTATGTAAAATAAATAAAAATATTAAACAAAAAAAGAAAAGAACATGACTTTTTAGATTTGCTTTACTTTTCTAGTTTCCTCATTTACATAAGAATGAAGGAATGTGCTGGGCAGTGGTGGCACATGCCTTTAATCCCAGCACCTGGGAGGCACAGGAAGGTGGATCTCTGTGAGTTTGAGGCCGGGGGGGGGGGGGGGGGGGGAGAAGAGAAGAAAAACAAGATCAGGAATGAGAATGACACTAGACAATTAATATTGTTGATTAAATACACACACACACACACACACACACACACACACACACGGAGTGAAATAACAATAAAGTCAAGGGCTGTTTTGTTGGGATTTTTGTAGAGTCCTAGTCAAAGGCTCTTTAACCATTTCTGATCTAGGTTGTATAAACCTAACTAAAGTTCTCATAGAGTTGTAGTTGGTACAGTGTTCCCCCGTGGGATCCATATGTTAAGGGCATGGTCTCTAGCCTGTCTACTGGGAGATGGTGGAACCTACAAGGGGTGGACTTTGTGACTGCTCTTACAGGGGACTGCAGAATGGAATCCCAGTCTCTTTTGTTCTCTGTTTTTGTTTCCTGGCCACCATATACCGCATCTCCCTGGCGCAATATATTGCCTTGCTAGAGGTCCAAAAGCAACTGTGAACCATCCATGGGTTGAAACCACAAGTGTGAACCAAATTAAACCTTTCTTCTCTTTTCCAAGCTGATTATCTCAGTTATTTGAAAAATGGGCTCACCCAGATGATGGTCTAAATCCTGGAAGGTTTACACAGAGCACATACAAAATTTAGATGAATTGCTTTAGGGTAGAGATTCTTGAAAAGGCCAAAGGAGTGACTTCGGGAAAGAGGGAGAAACTGGAGCATCTGCTGAGAGCCAGACTCCTTGCTACTAGCAGGATTAGGTGTGCTTGCAAAAAGAAATTACCCACTTTGTATCCTTTTACTTCTGACTCATTATCCAGGGCCTTCACTTGATCCCAGTTCAGGATAATTTTGGAGTCCGAAGAATTCCATATGATGTTTCCAGGGGGTTGGCTTGGTGCTATAAAAAAAATTAAGATAGACGAAGTCACAGATTATTAAATCTCAATGGATTCTAAGGAATGTCTCCTTACTAGAATTCTACAGTAGAGGCAATTTAATGGGCGATTGAACTAATATGTGTCTTCAAGGTCACTGAAATCTGACGAGATACAGCATTGCAAATGGAAAAAGATTCAGTTGGTCGCCTACCATTTATAGCTAAAAGAAGTAGTCCTTCCTAGTGAGGAGAAAAACATTTATCTTTCTGTCCTCTGGAGCAATGAATTTGGCATGGTATTCTGAAAGGTTCAGTTAAAATGCTAAGGAGCCTTTGAATCCATATAATGATACCAATTAGTATGCAAATGATCCCTGGGAGGTGGGGATAGGTAATGAACTTGGAGTATGTTTGATGAATCCCCAAAATATTTCTGAACAACTTTGTCCTTACGTGGTTTTCTGGTAGTGACATTGACTGTTGCACTGGAGGGTCCTGTCCCAGCTGAGTTATATGCCTTGACAGCTAAGTGATACAGTGCACTTCCTTTCAGGTTGGTGATTTTTGTAGATGTCTGGTTTCCAACTGTTCGTATTTTTCTAGCATTTTCTTCCTTGTCATCATGTCTCCAATATTTTACCTGAGAAAATAAAAAGAAAGATCTTGGAAATCAGATCCACTGGGGATATTTCCAATGTCATCAGGTCATAATATTTTTATGCAAGTCCTTACAATGGAGTTAAATTTCTATATTAACTCATGGACAAAGATTTTAGAGCAAGGAGATTCACATGATCTTCAAAATTATCCACAATAAGAAACTTTCCTTTTTATTATTTTTCCACTGATGTGGACAGCTTGGTGAATCATCAATGGATATTTCTTTTATTTTCCCCTCCTTTGGTTTGAGCTCAGGTGATTCCGGGTATGTAAGACTAAAAAAAATTCTTTTAAAAGATTTAATTTTTTAAAAAATTATGTGTGTGTGTGTGGGGGGGGTGTTTGTGTGCATGTACATGTGAATGTTGGTACCCACAGAGGCCAGAAGAGGGCATCAAATCCCCTGGATCTTCACTTATAGGCAGGTGTTTAGTTGCCCAACATGAATACTGGAAACTGAACTCAGATCCTCTACAAGAACAAAGAACACTATTGACTTCAGAAGCCATTTCTCTATATCCATGGGCATATCATATTTAAGCTCCTTTTGCCAACTATATTGTAAATCTTTAGGTTTATGGACACACACACACACATACACACATGAAAATATAGTATTAACGAACATTAGCATAGACAAAAGGAAGTCTAGTTTCACAGTAGATCTTTGGTACTAATATTAATGGTGTGGTAGAGCCAGGCCTCTACAACAGAGACCAATGAAGGGTGGCATGGGTCTTCTCCCATCAGTGATTATGCCTTACAGATCTCACCGAGAGATACAGATCAAATGCAAATGTTTCCAGCTTACCTCATAGCCTTGAATCCGTCCTCTATTCTTCCCAATGGGGGAGGCCCAGAAAACTTCAATATCTGTGGCAGAAAGACTCCTGGCAAAGATACTTGCTGGTGGCTTGGTGGGTTCTGCAAATGAATTCAGAAAGTTACTATCCAGTCAGCTTCATCCTAACAAGCTTCTAGAAATGGGCTTAGAAGTCAGAAAGAAGCCATGGTCATAGGGCTGTTCTTAATACCTGGAAGACATACAACCTCCCCAAAATAAATAATTACCATATGCAGGGGGGAGTACTTAGGAAAGAAACACTTCTGAAATCTTACAAATGTCTACCCTGTAGGTAAGTGGAACTAAAGTTACCCAAGACCAAGTTTAGCAACAAATTTTCATGGTCAGCAATTCTGTCAAGTAGATCTTTCTTAATTAAGTTAAGTAAGAGTCCCAGTTGCTCGATTATGAAAACAAGAGAGAAAGAAACAAGGGCAGTTAACTGAATTGATTACGATTCAAGGAAGCTGGGTAGTGGTTTAGTTCTACATGGCAATCTTTAAAATCCTAGACAAGCCATCAATAGTTTCTGGGGCTTGGTATCCTAGGATGCAAACACTAGAGTGAACCACCAGTTTCTCAAATTTTAGCTGCTTTTACCAGACTTTTGCACACCACTTGTATATGCAACTCTTTTTCCAATACTGCCCTTACTGAAAAACCTAGTTCAGCCATGACTTGACTAATACCATTCACAAAATCTTACCTTGGGTAACACCATCCTCATTCTCTTAAGCATCCCCCCAATATGATATAATAAACTCCTGTTAAAACCAAAGCATCCATCTGGTATAAATTAATACCAGTTTATATACTCCTCTATATTTTCACACTCTAGGAAATATTGGACATGGAGATCTCTATTTACAGGTAACAATATAAGATTCCCCTTATATGCCAACTCAGAATTTTTTAAATGTCACTTGATACTCTGGAAAACTTATCAGCCATCCTCAGGAAACACTTTCCTTCATAAGAAAATACAGCACAATTTTAAATATGTTGTCATGAATATTATAATAGAGAAACATGCAGATGCTACAAATATTATGGCTATAAATGATACCCAAGAAACAAGGCATAGACAAAAACTTACTCCACATTGCAGACCTAGGGAACAACCTTGGTTGTTCAAAGTGAGGCCAAAAGAATGAGTAGGGATTTGTAATGGAAATGCTGAATGAAGCCCATGCAGGGAGACTGAAGCTTAGGTTTGGGTAGTTTCTAGTCTTTAGCATGTGGTTGTGGTGTGTAATAAGAAGCTGAGAAAGCTGTGAGAGTTGGCAAAGAGGCAGGGGAGAGGCCATGAAAGACTGCTGCTGCCTCTGTGGGAATTAGTTCTCTGCAGAAAGGAAGAAAGTGCTGTTTCTTTTCTGACTCCAAACAAATGTGTCAACTTTCAGGTGTTATCATATGGTTAAATACTGAATCTAGTCTTTAAAACAACAATGGTGAGCTCCAAGCACACCAAAGGCTATGTGAGAGGCATTCTGAGGGCAAGGACCTCCCCAGAGAAGTAACAATGTGTGAGGAGGACCCTTGAACATCACGTCAGTGTGAATGGCAGTGCAGGCAATCAAGTTGCTTCATGCCTCCCTCTCCTAAGAAGTCAGAGCCAGGACAAATGGCTTAAAAACACAAGGGATGAGAGAGAATGAAACATTCCATCTTCATAGCCACTGGAAAGCATTAAATAGGGTTCTTTAAAAGGAATGATAACAGACAGGTACATGGTACTGTTTATCAATAAATAATTAATAGGTACAGAAAAAGATAAATGTGAAGATAACGCAGGGCAGGGCACTTGCAAGTTGGTTCCATCTTAGCAATGCAATCCATTGACGGAAAGCCATGTGTTTTCATATGTGATAGAGTTGTAATTAACTTTTCATTTTGCAGACAGATTTAACTATGTACCCCAGGCTGGCCTCAGACTGGCTAACCTGCCTCAATCTCTCCTATTCTGGGATACTGGTGTGTATCCACACAGCCAGAGTTGCTGTGTGTGTGTGTGTGTGTGTGTGTGTAAAAACAAATGTTTTTACAGTATACTTGTCTCTAATTAAGATATGCTTTTGATTTATATGTATTTTATACTCTAAGTTGATCATACATCCTGAAGGGAACACCATTTGAACATTGAAGAACTATCAGTGTAGCATGAACCATACCTTCTTCAGCAGAATACACCAACGTGGTGGGACTAAAAGGGCCTTCTCCTTTGTTATTGAAGACACCCACTTTAACCTCAAAGGGAGAGAATGGGCGCACACTCTCATTCCTGAACACGTATCTGGAGGCATCAGCCGAAGCCAGGACTGTCAGCATCCAGATCATTTTGCCATGTGGCCGGAAGGCTACCACATAACCAAAGCCTCTGCCATTCTGTAATTCCTCAGGGACTGTCTGGGGAGGAAGGGAAGAGGTACTCAGAAAGCATAGTAGTTAGATTACTTATTAAACTCCCCTAATTGACTCAAACATTAAAGGTTAGTCCCCAGTTCTTGCCTCAATTGATTCAAATTTTAAGGCTATGCCTCTCTCCACCTTATTTTGGGCTTTATTTTTAACCATCTTTTAAATGTAGAGATGTCTTTTAACCTGCCTATGATACTCATGTGGTACTAGAGCAACACCCACCTTGAAAATTGAAACAAAGATCTACAGTTGATAGTTGGGCTCTGGTGAGATGGACTCAACTCTGAAAACCATTACAAATGATGACCAATTTACCATCCAGTTGATTTCCTAAAAAATAACCTTTCTACTGTGCACCATCTAATAATATTTTTTTCCTTCAGTGCCAGATAGACAAAAGAAGTCACAGAAGGAGGCCATCTCTGCACAGACAAGATCCTGCCCCCAGGAGAGACTTTGAGCTCAGTTGGGAGGGAGAGAGAGATTTCTTTCCTTTCCCTGCTGGGGCTCTGGGTGAATTAAAGGCTTTTTATTTCAGGGGACATTGTCTAAAATCTTTGGAACACATTTCAAACCTCTTTGGAGGCTCCCACCTCCTCTCTCAAAATCAATTTTTAATAAATTGGTGACTAACCTTCCTCCAGGTTGTTTAAAGAAACACCTCACTGCCTGGCAGCAAAGCCAACTGCTAGGAAATTGTTCTGGGACACTCAATCTATAGCTGGCAGATGTTTTAAATCAATTGGCCATGCAGCAATTCAGAAAGAAAAGAAAGACTGGTTCTCTCTGAACCAGACTTCCTTATTTTTTTTAACTTGTGTTATCGCCTCTTCCATGCTTATTTTTCCCCCTGTGAACAGTCAAATTAAAAGTTGCTTCAAACAATGGGTGGCCAAGCACCTTCGCTTCCTGATAGACATTAATAGATTTCTTGAAAGCAGAGGGGAGCCATTCCTGGCTTCTTGTCATATGGAAGAAAATAACAAAACAACCCAGACAAAAGCATGTCCCTTTGGTCCTGTGATGGATTTACCTCCCAGGTTATAACCAGTTCAGATTTGCTGCCTCCACCACCACTGACGTTAGCTGGGGTGACTTCGGGGACTGCAGGAAACAAAAAAGAAACCAAGTTATTTCAGGTACTAATGGCAAATGTGGACCAGGAAGGTTGCCCAGATGGAGTGACTCACTGTTAGTAAATTCTTGGGCACATGACCCTTTGTCTTTTGGATATCAGAAACAACATCCACTAAAGGAACACTGTACTGGCTTGAAGAAGCAAAATGTCCCAAGGAAATTGCTATTAATTACCTGCTTCTGGTTCACCAGAGTAGTCATGTTACCAGTCACTACTGACCAATTGTTTAGCCCTGTACCTAAAGACCTGAGAGTTTCACAAAGAAAGGATTGAAGAATCTGCCCTCAAGCTTCTTCAGACATTTATTAACCATGTGGTGGCAACAAAGGAAAGACAGGACAAACTGTGCCCACGTGGAGCTCACAATCTAGTGGGATGTTGAGAACACATGCAAAATATCACAGAGAAACTTGGACAACACCCAATGGCGTCGCAGACAGAATGGAGAAGAGCAGTTGGGTTCTGGAGTAGCACGTTGCTCAGCGGAGCACTGGACTAATGGCTTCTCAGAAGAAGGTGAGCTTTGAGCTGAGTGTTGAAGGAAGTGGTAGACCCCTGGCTCACTGTGCTTAACCTCTCTGATCCCCAGTTTTCTCTGTAAAAGAGGGGAAATAAGACTCACTTCCTTCTCAGGATTGTAGGGTGGAATTGAGTTATAGTTTCAGAGATGGGGAAAGAAAGCATAGGATTAGTTATGCTAGCATATAAATGAAGGATGCCAGCCAGACCCTTTCAATAGCTAGCTGGGGCCTGCAGCTAGTAACTCAGTATATCCCTTTAAAGTCAATGATACCATACCTAGATGGATTTTTTTAAATCCATTTTGAGAATAAGGTGAAATTGTTGGTCTGCTTAGGATCTTGCTAGACCTTTACAAATCACCTATTAATTGTTATGGCTTGGAGCTCCAGAGAGACAACAAAACAGGATCTCCCAGTTTACAAAAGTGTAATCTGACCCAGCTGGGTGTACATTACTTTCATCCTGTGTTCATCATGCGAGCTATATGTAGTATAATCTCATTCTTCACTTATAGCCATGGTTTATGTCTTAAGAAAATCCGGGCAAAGATTTCTTAGCAAATGTTCTCTGACCATTTGTGATTTTTCTGGCATATGAACCAAAGGAGAAAGAGTTGAGTGCTGAAAGAATTAAGCAGAGGTACTACACTGGTTCTTGCTACACAGTGGACTCAGTAGAAGACTGAGAACTTGATTCAAGCTTACTACACACAAGGCTGAGAGTCTACTGGACTGGAGTGTGATCATTAGGACCCTTTAAGGGAGAAAGTGTGGACATGTAGAGCTCACTGAAGCTAATGAATGAACGGCAAGAAATCAAGGTTTCTCCTTCAGGAGTGGAAGCTGCCAGAACAGACACCATATAGCTTGAGTGGTACTCACGAGCCTCTTCTGTCCTCCGTTTCTCTGAGGGCCGGCTGGGTTCCCCAATGCCAATCACATTAGCTGCAACGGTGCGGAACTCATATTCAACCCAGGGGTTCAAACCCACCACAGTTGCTGTGAAGGTCTTTCCATCAACAAGTTCTGGAACTGAAAGATATCAAAAGGTGGGTGAGAGGGCTTAAGAGAATTCACTCAGCTCCACAAAGACATGGAGATGATTTTAGGAACATCTATCATCATCACCACCGCTGCCGCTATCACCACCACCACCGCCATCGCTACCACCACCACCACCACCACTTCCAGGGAAGGCATTGTAGTTAGCCTGCTAGGATGATGATGAAGAGGTATGAATATATTTTGCATCTATTTCACAAATTCTAGTCCGTGCTTTCTTTTTTTTTTTTCTGCTTCTGTGTTAGGCTCTTTTGTTATTGTGACAAATACTTGGGAGAAACAGTTTAAGAGGGATAAGGATTTATTTTGATCCATGGTTTTAGAGGTCTTGGTCAAGGGCTGGCTGGCTGGCTTGAAGGCAGGAAGAATACCTTTGTGTGGGTACCATGATATTTCAGAGCTGGAAACCTCATGGTGTCTGAGAAACATGGGGGATAAGGACAGGATGCTCTTCAAAGGCATACCCCCAGTGATACACCTCCTCCAGCTAGACCCATGTCCTAAGGCTTTGTCACTTCCCAAAGTAGTGCCAGTATCCCAGGACCAAGCTTTTATCATGTGACCCTTGATGGGGGGATTTCAAGCTCAAACCATAACACTGTTGTTACTACCAGTAGTAACAACACTTTTTAATCAAGAATATAAACAACATAGACAAACCTATATCCAATCTAACCAAATGGCACTGAGAACAGGTCCTTTTTGTAATTTTTTTGTCATTTCTTTTAGGTTTAATCCTTTTACCAATCCCAACTCCTGTCATTATTTCATTTTTTCCCCACTGAGATGACATTTGAGGAAGAAATTAGACAAATAGGAGTTCCTGCCCAACATTATGTAATTTACATAATCATGTTGTTGATCCAATTTTACAATATTGTATTTGTATTAATTTTTTGAGGATTTCATACAATCTATTTTGATCACATCACCCCCACCTTAGTTTATCACACCTCAGAAATTGTTTTCTGTCTGTAAACACTGACTTTCTGTGGATTCAAAGAAGTGTTTTAAAATGAAAGATAAGAAAAATGAATCATTGTCTTCACTCTGATAATCAACAGATCTCCATAGAACTTCATTTGCTTCTCCTGTTAAAGAGGCACAGTAACAAACTCTTAGTGTGAATAAAATAATTTTATTTTGCTGTCATAATGGCTGTAAGGATTAGATATGGGCCTGGCATTATATAGTATATGTAGAAAACATGTGAAGTGTGAATAATAGTAAAATAGCTTTGACCTTTGAAGACTTGGTGTTTTATGGTATCAGCAACTGGTGTCTGATTTGAGTGAATTCATGGAACAAAGAGAGTGTGACAATTACTTCACAATAATAATGGTGAATTGCTACTGATAGTAACAACAGTCTTATGGTTTGAGCTTGAAATCCCCCTTCAAAGGTGACATGATAAAAACTTGGTCCTAGGATACAGGCACTAGTTTGGGAAGTAACAAAGCCTTAGGGCGCCAGTCTACCTGGAGGTGTTGTGTCACTGGGGGTATGCCTTTGAGGAGCATTCTGTTCTTATCCCCTTCTTGTCTGTTTCTCAGACACCATGAGGTTTCCAGCTCTGAGATATCATGGTACCCACACCAAGGTATTCTTCCTGCCTTCAAGCCCCAAGCATTGAAGCCAGCCAACCTTTGACTTAAACCTCTAAAACCATGCATCAAAATAAATCCTTATCCCTCCTATTCTTCACTTTGACAAAGCGTGTAACACAGAAGCTGAAAAAGGAAAAGAAAGCACAGACTAGAGTTTGTGAAACTGATTAAAACGTTTCCATGCCTCTTCATCTCCAAATTAATACATGTACAAGTGGCGGCAGCAGGACAAAAGACTCTACAGAGTACTTAGATATTATATTGTTAACAGCTGTGCAGGAACTTTGCAAACACTGACTAGAGGCTGGCATTTTCCACTGCTTTTCCAATGTGGAACACAGTGGTACAGAGGTGATTTTAGGTAATACATAGATCAGTGCATTTTATTTTTACAAATAGTTTCAAGCTGGCTAAGAAAATAAAAATACACATAATAGCATAGCAAATAATTTCATAGATACTAACGTTTAGGTTTAGTAGCAATAATGTAAGTTAGTGTGGAGGAAAACATTAAGGAAAGTAGAGTTGGCTGGAGACAGAGCCATAATGTATCATTTGTCCCTGTGTTCACCTAGATGTTTCCTGGCCTCTTCCATATTTCATTCATACTTCATTCTAGAAGCCTCTGGCAGACAGCAGGCCTCAGCATGCAACATAGTACCTGTACTGACTGCTTGCCAGCCCACGGAGAATGGAGTCCTAGCTTGGATGACATACATGGTGATGGGGCTGTGGTTGTCAGGTCCAGGTCTCCATGAAAGCTGAGCAGTGGTGTCTGTGATTTCATCTATGGTCACAGCCTCTGGAGGACCTGGAGGGCCTGGGAGGCAGCAAGGCATTCAGAACCAGACGGCATACTCAAATGTCCAAGTATATAATCTACCCACTTGAATGGGGTACTAAATCAGTCAATCATTTATTTAAGTACTTACGTATACACTCCATCACTGCTTTTGGCAAATCTGCTGGGTAACAAGAGCCCTACTTAACTCTGAAATTATAGCAATGAACTGACACATGCCCTTTCTTTGTAGGGGTTCAGAGAATATAGGGGAAACCACAAATAGGCAAACAAAGTGTTATAATGGAATGTCTTGATGTTAGGAGAGAACGCTGGGCCACTATCCACCGGCAAAACTGCATCTAGCCACTGCATGTACTTTCAGGCAGAGGGACTACAGTGAAAATGGTCAGTTCTCAAGTCACAAGACCATCCTCTTCTTCGGAGTAATTCCGAAACGTGGCTGGAGTCTAATGTCCCTCTGGAGCAATTTCTATAAGTCATGCCTAAATTTTCTACTTATTTGCCTGATAGTTATAGCTTCTCTACTTCCATGTACTTGAAAACCATTGAAAGGGGAAGAAGTCATGTTTAGATGAAGGTCTGGAGATCATACAGGGAGGGACAGAAAACAATTAGGAGGTGAAACATCAGTGTAGGCAGGGTAAAGACCCAGAAATTTCCTACTTGTCAGTATTAGAAGCTATGGCCAGACAGTTAAATGCATTTTTTTTAAATGTAGTTCAAACATCACCCTGGAATAAAAAGGTGGTGGCAAGAGGACATGGTGACAGCCCTCATACTTGTTAGACAGATAAGGAGAGGTACCCCAGAGGTATTTTCTGATCCCCAGTTTAGCAATCAAAGCTGTTCTCAAAAGACTACCAGGCTGTGTCACAGGGACAAGGTAAAAAGGAAATCTCCCAGGAGTGGTGAAAAGTTTATGGAAATTCCCAAAGCAAGATTTTCTTCTGAAAAATTTCACTCCTTCACCTTTATGCAACACCCTGCACTCTCTTTGCTTCTTAAAAAATATCACTTTTATAGACTCACAGGTAAGGCTAAATTTATCTTCTTTCCACCCCCCACTCCAGAATGAAATGTCTGCAAATGTGTATGCTGGAGCTGATTAATTTTCCATGGTGACATTTCAGCATGGCAGTCTAATGCCAGCTAGACAGAACTGAGGTAACCTCTGGTAACCTCTGGTCTTTTACTCCTAATAAGCAGGTAAAGTCCGGAAGACAGTGTAGTCTCCTTTGTGTCTGGCTGGCTCTCTCCTCCTCATATTTCCACCCTTTTTCTTTATGAATGTTGTTGGAGAGCCTTTAGAATCTACCACACATAGAAAAGTGCTCTATTTCAATAGCTCCAAGAATTGAATCAATAGCCAGTATCTGAGTCCCCTGTATAGGAAAAAAAGGAAGGGGTGGCATGGACCTGTTGCTGGAGGGGCTTCTCTCACTCTATCTCCCTGTCACCCAAACCCACCAGTGCATGGCTATGCTCTTGGGGAGTGTTGACTTCATTTTAGCTAAACTGGAGCTTTCTTTAAAAGAAAAAAAGTCCACTGAGCAAACTGTAACATGTTTTTGTCACATGGCAAGGACAGCTATTTTGATGCTGGTGTCTGCTTTTTGCTCAGGGAAGGAGGCCAAGAGATAGTTGCAGATTAAGTAAAGTAGGCAATTAAAGGTTCAGGGAATTAAAGGTTCCAGAGACAACATACAAACCTTCACTTGTTCTAAATGGGAAAACTTACAGGGTAGCAAAACGCATTTCCGTCTCTCCACTGCAATGTGCATAAAAGATGCAAGGATAGAGCAAGAGGAAATAAAATGAAAGACTGTGGCTTTAAATGTCATATTAATTTATTGGCCTTATTAACCGATTAGGCTAGAGTTTCTTTTAGATTGCGTTTGCAAATTCCTCTTGGTATCCAATGCTATTTTCTGTGAAATGAAGTATACAATATCATTTAAGAACTTCAAGTTCTACTGATTTAAATATTTATTAGTCTAATTTATTGGTTTTTAAACTGCTGATCTGAACATTATCCTAATTAAATAGAGGATAAATTACCAGCAACAGAATTCTTTTGTCCCTAGAGGGAGAGCAGATCCGCTCTGGTGTGTTTTAAAAAGGGAAACAAACACATTTCTGTAAGTTACTCTATGGGCAGGCAGATCTACCTAGGTTGAGAATATAATTTTTAATTTTTTAATATAGCCATGGCTTACGTTTTTTTTAGGCAATTCGCAAGTGACTAAAGCAATCATAGTGGGAAAGCAGCTTTTCTTTAACCTTTCTTGACAATTGAGTTGCTAATTGCTCTGCATTTCCCTTTCTCATCTGTCTGGGGCATACAGAAATACTTGGGATTGACTCCCAAAAGACCTCATTCCCTGTCTGTTCAGATTCCACCGACTCCAAGTCTGATTCAGGGTTTGCATTTTAGGCTCAGGTGGCCGATCAAGCATTCCCATCACCAACATTTAGGAATTCTCATGAATGAGTTTGGGGCCTGAGATAATTTTGATGCTCTGGGTTGGCTTTTATTTGTTTGGCAGAGTTGGGTGTGGAGCCCAAGGCTTCAATGTATGCTCTGCAAATGTGGTACCATGGAGTTACACCTTCAGCTTGACTGAGGGTATATGACTTTAAAAACAAAAACAAAAACAAAAACTATTGGGTACACAGGTTCCCAAAGTTTTTAATTTTATTTTTTTCCCTTCTTTTGATGGGTTAAAGATGGCTCAGTGGTTAAGAACACTGGCTGTTCTTGTGCTGAATCCAGGTTCAATTCTCAGAATCCATACTGTGACCTACAACCATCTCTTATGCCAAACCCTGGAAATCTACCACCCTCTTCTGGCCTCCACAAGTACTGCACAAACATGGTACACAGATAATATGTAGAAACAACTCCCATTAACATGAAATTAAAAGACAATCCCCCTTGTTGTTTTACTGTTGGTTGGGGATGGTGGTACACATCTGTAATCCCAGCACTTGAGCAGCTGAGACAAGAAGGTTGTGAGTTTGAAGCCAGCCTAAGCTATGCAATCTCCTCTCTTTAAAAAAGGAAAAAATATTAAATACCTTAAATTTCTTTTATAAACTGATCCGAAGCCTAGAATTTTCTTCAGCTAGTGGACTCATCCAGGGTTGCCTTAGCTGAAAGCTTTAACTTAGTTCCTGTCAGTACTGCTAAGAGTCTCACCAAGGCTTTATTCTGTATGAAGTGCCTTCCTATTTACTACATTCCAAGCAAGCTCTTCCTTATCAAGCCATACTTTAAAATCAGGGCAGCCTTGTCAGAACACAGTCCAGGGATGGAATTGTGTGAGAATTCTGAGTGCTTGTGAGAAAACAAGACAAAACAAGACATGAGTCTTTCGACCTCAGTTTCTTCAAATCACCTAATTGTTCTTGAAATGTGTTTTCCTGCTCCTCCCAGGTTTAGCTGATAAAAGTGAGTTTACTTTAGATTTCTTATTATTGCTTGTAGATGGTATTCAACTGAACATTTGCATGCCTCTATGGAAAAATATATTTTTTTCCACATGTGGTGTGTCCTTGTGATTGTTTATAGCTTGCACTCATGAAACCCTTTCTTAGGTGATTTTTCTTAACCCTCAGAATATATGTTGTCTGATGATCCGAATAAAGTTGGCTATTGTATGAGACTTTAGGCTGCCTCATTTATCGGCTCCATTCTCGCAGATCCCATGACCTCCAGGTCGGTAAACACAACTCTAATAATTTTGGGAAAATATGAGTTTTCTTAGGCCTCTGTTATATACCACTAGTCTAAAACACCAATGTAGTTCAGTCCAGACGACATACAAAACAGTAAATTGGATCACCTTTATAATTAATTATTTGGGTTAATCTAAGGTTATTCTAGAGCATCCTATAAACTCAGTAGTCATAATTGGGACCTTCAATAGGAGTTCTTTTCAGTAGGAGAACTGAATCTACTCAGTGCACTTTCTGGTTATCCATCTTTTATGAAAAAGTACATGTTTGGAGAACTATAGACTGTTAACCACTGTCTCAATGGTTAATTTATGACTTTCTTTTTAATCTAATTCAAAACCACTGAGGTTTTATGTTGCTGTGGTAAAGTACATACCATAGAAACATTGAAAGGGCAAAAAGCAAGCAATAAATAGACAAAAATAGAAGTCCAATACCTCTTACAATCAGGTCGGCGGCAGCAGTGAGTTTGTCTACACTTGTTTGGACCATGCAGACATATTTCCCAGCATGCTTCAGTTGAATGTTTCGGATCATCAAATCACCAGCTGAATCCTGCTGATAAAGTAGAGGAAAGTGGCTACAATTACTTTATAATGAGCCCTAAATATCATTATCACATGAAGGACACTATGACTAATGGATTTATTTTACACCGGCTGATGAAAACATTAGTGATGCAAGCCATGGCTGTTAAAGCTATGTGAGCCAGCCTGAGAGATAAGAACACCAATGTTTTCAGAGAGCTTATCTTCCATAGGAGCTCAGGTGTCTGGATCAGTCTGCTCTCCCTGCTGGCATCACTCAAAGTTACACAACGTGGTTTTGGATTGAGCCTTATGGGTTCCCTTCAGCATGCTCTCAGCCTATGGCCTGGGCTTGCATTCTGAGACTTTGACATTCTATATTTGGAAAGGGGAGGCAATACGTTTAGAGGCATCTGCATTTTTTTCTACAGAACCCTGTCTTGCAGCCAGCGTTTTGATTGCTCTCAAGTTTGAATTAAAGGATTGTGAAGGCCAGAGTCTCTAAGGAACTCTTGAATCATCTAGTGTGGAATAGTACTAATTTGTTTTCTAAATGCCAAATGCATGTTTGATTAGCAGATGAATGGGACTAATTACACCGAATATGGATGCCTGTGTGCCCTACAACCGTTTCAACACTGCTCACCAGAAAATGACTTTTCGTAAATAAAAAGTGATCTCTCCACTAGACTGCTCCACCTTGGAGTTTGGTTTTACTGCCTGGATATTGAAAAGGTTCGAGAATAAAGCAGTGTTATCGTTGTCCAATTTCAGCAGGAAGTAATCCTAAGAAAACAACGCCCCTTTTACCTACTGTTGGTTTTAAGGGTTGGTATTCACCTGTATAGGGTTAGTTTGGGTTGTTTAGGGTTGGGTATGGAAGGTGATACTCAGACTCTGGAAGGTGATACTCAGACTCGGTATCTCTTTTAGATAAGTTTAAGGGTATGGCTGGGAAAGGTATAGTTAAGATGGGATATAGGTAGATTAACATATTTTCTAGTGAACTAACTTTAGCAAACGTTAGCTATAGATAACTTAAATTGTTAGACTATTGTATGCTGACTGTTTAGGGTCTTCTTGTATATACATTAGGATATTTTATCATATTGCACTTTACAGTTCTACCGCTAGTCAAGACATTTCACTGCTATCTTTTATATATATATATATATATATATATATATATATATATTGCTTGAATTCATTGCCCTGGTTAAATTTTATTTGGGGAAACTTCAGCCATTGTACAACTGTGTTTCTGAGAATTACAGACTATTACCACCCATGATTCTTATCTATGAGATTAGTCAGACATAGATATTTGATCATCAAACACTTCATAGACCTGAAGAATATGGCATTTAAATGTTTTAATATTAGTACTCCATTGATATGAGACACAATTGCTCCTGACAGCACCAAGCTATTCCTGAGAAAATGTTGGGCACTGATGTCACTCCTTCTGGAGTCTGTTCTGTCTTCAGCTAATGGCCTTTTAGACAAAGAACTGACCCCACCTTGACCGCTGACTTTGGACATGCTGTCCTACTATGCTTGCAGGAGATAAACTTAGAAGACTGTTGAACCTTGCCTTTCTACCTCCCTGCTTCTGTGTTGGTCAGTCAGATGCTCTAGGCCTTAGCCAAAGCTGTGAGACTTTGGGTGACTGTTTAGGTAGCTTGCTGTTTCTGTCTTCACTGCACCTTTTGGAAGTTGCTCACCTGCACTTCCTGCCTACCCTAGTATTGTTATCCTCCTTCTCAGGTCTTTGATGAGGTTGAAGATTAGACTGTCACAATTATTGTTCTCTCACCCTAGATAGAAATATTAGGTACAAGACATAAACTTTCCAGCTTAGGACAACTCTGTAGTAATCTCTCTTATGCCTTTACCCTAGGACTGGATATATAGTTCTTGCCTTTTGCTCTAGTTGCCCCACTGGCAATAGGTATTAAGTGTGTTTGTTCTTACTTTTCCTTCTCCTGGATCATACTTGATATTTGCTATCTTTGTGTGTAGTTTTGTATAAAGCCTAAATATTTTCTTTAGACTATAAGGGGAATTATAGTGAGATATTTGCCCTGCCCACACCTGTAGGCATGGATCATACCTGTTTGGGCATGGTCACAGTTTCAACCATGATGGAGAGTGAGTTTTAGATCTGGGGTCAGGGCAGGTGGCTCTCTCTGGCATGCTGTCGGGTCACAGGTTGCAGCCTGTGCAGATCCTGAGAGAGGGAACCTGTGGCAGCCATCTGCCTTTTGTGTAAGTGACTTCTCCCCAAAATAAATTATATTTAACCTATGTTTGAGCCTAGTCCTGTGAATCATTATCCTTGTCTCTGCAGTGGGTTAGACTAGAAATGATCTCTTCTTTCTGATTCCAAACTACAAAATGTGAAGCTGACACAGACTTTGAAATTGCTATTCCTCCACAGAGCATTGATAATGAATGACACGTGGTACTATACATCTTGAATTTTCTAAGTGCTTTATTTATGTTAATACACCCAATTCCCACATGGTCTATGAGGCAGTTAGCGTACTTATAGATGAGAAAACTCTAACACAAAGAGGCTAGGCAACTTTTTATAAGCTATATGTAGCAAAACACAGTTCCAATTCCTGTTATTTTCTGTGTGTAGATATATATATATATATATAGTGTATATGCTGATTTTTGTATGTGGTGGGTGCATGTAGAGAAGACAGCATCAGGTGTCATTCCTCAGGTATTGTATTCATTGTTATTTGATACAAGTTCTCTTATTTGCCTAAAACTTGTCAAGTAGATGAGACTGACTGGCAAACAAACCCACAGGATTTGCCTATCTCTATCTCCTTTGCATTGGGATTCCAAGCATATTCCACCATGCCAGGGTTTCATATGAGTTCTGGGGGATTGAAATTAGTCTCTGTGCTCAGCAGACCAACATTTACCACTGAGCCACCTCCCAGACCCAACCCTTGTTAGTGTTAATAATTATATACTCCTCTCCAAGGAAGAACTTAGCCCTATTTGCAAGCACCATGTTAGCCAGGCTATAGTGGCACACACCTTTAATCCCAACACTCAGAAGGCAGCAGCAGGTAGATGGATATCTGTGAATTTAAGGATAGCCTGGACTACATAGTGGATTTCAGGATTCCAGGGCAGCCAGGGCTACACAGAGAAACCCTGTCTCAAAAGACAAAAAACAAACAAACAAAAAACAAAACAAAAAAAACCAAGCAAACAAACAAACAAACAAAAAACCGCAAACAACAATAACAACAAAAAACAGCAAATGGAAGGAAGGAAGGAAGGAAGGAAGGAAGGAAGGAAGGAAGGAAGGAAGGAAGGAAGGAATCAAGCACAAGTCCTCTCAGTTTCTTTTGTTTCAGTAAAACAGGTCACACTCATAATTACTGAGGCAAGGAAAAAGTCCCAAGCACCAGTTGTTGCAAGTAGGATTAGAAGAAATACAAGAGTATGTCCTGAAGGCAGAGCTGTAGTTAGGAGATCTAGTTGTTTGGGGCCCATCCCTGCTGTGTGATTTCATCTAAGTTTCTTAATCTGTCTGTCTCTCAGCTTATTGACCTTTCAAAGAGGGATGCCTTCCCTCCTGTGCCATGGGGTGAGAATCAAATGAGACTGGATACCTATGTGAAATCCCTTCACAGACGATGGAAGCATGGAATAAATTTAAACTCGTCTTCATGATGGCTGTGATCAATTTTCTTTGTAAAACAATCATGTCAAAGACCTTAAATCTAATTCAAGAAGAGGTGAGATTTTTTTTAATCTGAAAGTTCTTTTATTTATAACACTGGTATTCTCATCCAGTTCCACTAGATACTGATCACAGCTCAGTATAAAAAAAATGGATTGGTTTAAGGATATAAAACTGCAGTTGGACAAGAGGCATGGACTCTCTGATGTCTTGAGGTCTACTGAGAGCATAATAAATATAGTTGATAACAATATGCTATATTTTAAAAGCTGTGAGATAGTATACTTTAAGTGTTCTCAAAACAAAAATGATGAATATGTGTGATATAACATGTTAATTGGTTTAATTTAGCCATGCCATTGTGAACATACTGCATTATGTATCATAATTGTGCATGACTTTATTTATGAGCTAAATAAATGAATGGAAAAAAATGGGAAAATAATTACCAACCTATCTCATAGGGTTTCTGTGAGGATTGAGGAGCTAATAAACAATAAGATGATTGATAAATGATTAGGTACCTGGCAAGTAATAGGAATCAGTATTATGAACCTAAAATAGTCACATGTTGGGGCTTTAAATAGAGATGTAAATAAAAACTAAGCCTCATAATGGAAATGTGTGCAGAGGGGTGGAAAATCATATTGATTTTAAGGTGGATGACATATTTACTTTAAAATGGAGGCCATATTGATTTTAAGAGCGGAGCTATGTTGATTTTGAGGTGATGTTATATTGGCACTAAGGAAGTATTTACCCCCTTCTCAGTGATTCATTCTATTCACTAGGGGATGAGTGTCAAAGGAACTTACTTCGCACATAGCAACCTACTTTCACAATTTTGTGGTTGTGACTAAGAGTGTGTCTTAGATATTCTTAAATTTTAGTGAAATTTATAGCTTTAAAGTCAAACTGAAAAAAGTTTTAAAGTAAGGAGTGAAGTAAAAGTCTCAGAGTGAGGCCGTTCTTTCCCTTAGAAATACCCAGCTCAAACTGTTACTGTGGGCTACATTTGTGTTTAACCTGTACTCCACCTGTGGTCTCCGTTCTCTTTCTGAAAGAGCACTGGAGGGCACAAGAGAACAACAAAACAGCTTTCCAAGAAAACCAAATAGGCTGAACCTATCCACCATTATTTCTTATGCTGACCCGGGAAACCGAAACTCGAATGGGTCAGAGTTCAGCATGGCAAGTACTTTCCTCCTCAACCGTGACATCCTAACATCAACATGGGTGACACTGGTGGCTAACCTACCTCCCTTTCTTTGTTTGTAGTAATAGTAGATAGCTGATCATGGTGACAGAAGTAGTTGTGCACAGGACAGAGGCATTTCTCAAATGGAAAACAAATGAAAGCAATTGTTTTGGTTTTTAATTTTAATTTTTTTACACAAGGTTTTTCTATTGAAATAAAGGTAGGCTATACCTCACTATGTAGACAAAAGTTGTCTATACTCAGTTCCTTTTGTTTTTGATCTCTGAATGTTGGGATTACAGGTATGTGCCACTACAGACAGTTGAATGAGAGCACTTTGGTGGATGCTAAGTATTCCTGTGTCCTTTGTTCCATTAAGATGTTTCTTTCTGCATCTCAGGGGAAATGGTTACATAGTGGCTACTAGGTCTGATTGGTCAGGAATCATTTTTAGTCATCAAGTATCAATCCATTCTAATTAGCTACTGCACATGAAATTCTCTGAGATCATACTTTTCATATTGACTTGCCTACAAAGTTGGTTTTAAAGTGAAAAGCTGCTATTCAATTTAGTTGATGAAGGGTTTTTCTTAATGTATACTGTTCTGTTATTACAAATAATATTACCTTTCTTTCAGAGTATAGAGCCATTAGAGATTTAAAAGTATTTCTTTTGTGATAGGTATGGGGCTGAGTATATTTTTAGACTTTAAAGTATTTGATATCACCAATGTTTCAGTGAAATAGAATCTCTCTCACTAAGCTGAGCTACACAAAAGAGGTCCAGCATGGTTAATCTAGGCAATGTCATCTAGCCTTACTCAACCAATACTCCAAGAGAGAATTCCTGACAAATTGAGTCATCTACTGGTGTAATGAATTAACTTCTCCCCCTGTGTATCCAAAGTGATATCATTCTTGGGAGAATTGAGAGAACAGTCATTCAAATTCTTTTTGGTGTTCTGCACCTCAAACTCTAACAAACTAAGCTGCGTGTAATGGCTAGAATTTTTACAACTGTTAGGTGGAAAATATGGAAGAGTTGTTAACTTCAGGGCATTTATACTCCACCTAAATGGATACACACACATAAGATGAGATGGGCAACTCAGTAAATCGTATTCCTATGGCAGTTGAGGGAGAGAAGGGCTTTTCAAAGCATAGCCCGAACTTTCTACTCTGGTGCTTTCTGATTAGGCCTTCCTCAGAAAGTGGTCATCAGGGAGAATACTCATTACCAATGGCAATGGAAAGCTGTGATAATGCAGAAAAATAATTGTTGAAAAAGTTTCTGATAGACGCAAGTTGTTTCTAGATTTAACCTTCTCTTGGCACATATTCAATGATAATATATATCGTACTGAAGGAGGCATTTCCAAAATTGAAGTATTTGGATTCAGATTCCATGGAGATGATGAATCACCCCAGTGTATTTGCAGAATCAAGAAAGTAAGTGCCAACTTTATGATGCTGAGTCTGCTACAAGAGCCCAGAGGAATATGATGACAACCTGAAGACAACATATAAGGAAATTATATTTAAGATACCCTATTAACTATTTGGTGGCATTGTATATGATATGGGAGTGGAGCTTGGGCTGTGAAGTTCAAAACTGAGTCATATCATTTAGCAGATGTAGAGAAAAGGCACTCCACATAACTCCTAGGAACCTCAGGTTCCTTCGTCACACACAGCAGTAAGTAGCTCATGTGATATCAAGCTTACTTACTTCATAAGTGATGCAGAAAGGAACAGGAATTAACCTAGAGTTCTGTGAAATAAAATGCTTCAACAACAACTTTACAGTTGTTTCCAAGTTAGTCCAAACAAATTAATTTGGGTCAGTTTACAGAACTTTTGGTATGCTGTTTCCTATGGGTAGCATGACATTGATACTTACCCCTCCAACTCTTTCAAAGTGGTCTCCATCTTTGTCAAAGTCTATCAAGTGGCCATTAAATGACCAAGTAAACACAATGTCCAGGGAGTGATCATGCGTCACCTGACACGGAAGAACAATGCTTTCTCCAACAGTTACATCCATGCTGGAAGGGGGGACCATCACCTTTGTTGGGTCTGGAATTGAAAAACAAAACAAAACAAAATAAAAACAAGTGCTGTGGATGCAACTTAGTAATAAAGTGTTCTCCTTGAATACATGTGTAAAGCCCTAAATTAATAAATCTCCAGAACCTCCAAACTCCCAATTGCCCTCACCCCAAACAAAGAGCAGCAGCAGTGATATAATGTATGAATGTAGTGTAGAACCTGTAGGGAACCTGTAGGAGCAGTAGGGAAGTAGTTGCTTTGGTGATCTTTCTTAAGTGGAGATCAACCAACTCCAGTCACCCAAGAAGCTCAGATTCAGACACAGGCTTATTTTCAACATAACAAGGTGAAGCTGCTCACTATATGTACTCTCACAGAGTAATAGAATTCAGCCTAGGAGTCACGAGGTGGTCTCTCTGGAGATAAGCACAGAAGGTTCCACTGGCTGGCAGCTCCTCTGAAAGATGCTATTTTGGAAAGGTTTGCATATCTCTCTGGTCTCACTAAAAGCTGTATCTCTGTTCATATCTATATACTGTCAGGTCTAATGGAAACTTCATTCTGGAGGTTAGACAAAAGCCAGCATTCCTAAGCAACTTGTTAATCCAGCTCCCTGCTACCAACGGTGCCATTTCCCTTCTCACTGGCAGAAGGGACAATGTAGGGA